TTCTTCAACACAGTGGAACATGATAACCAGTTTATCTTCATGTAATTAGATGTCTTTCCAACATCTAATTGAATTTAATTACAACAGTTTTGGGTCAGATCCTGTACTAGAAAGGTGCTTTATTCTTTTTGACTGGTACCCTTCAACAATTGATTCTTTTTAGATGACTTTGGTTATAGTTATGGAATGCGATAATTACAAGTTAACAAAAAATGACTTTTAATCTAATCAGTTTTTTAGTAATTGATGGGCAGTTTGAAAATGTAATCTTGTCATTTTAATCATGTTTCGAAGTAAGCTGATATTCATTTTCTAAAATTTTAAAGATGCTGAAACTGAGCTGTGTTATAACAAGGTATTTGTTTAAGGCTTTAGCCCTGCCTTACAGATTAGTTGGTTTTTCGGTTGACTTTTAAAGGATATATGTAACTTTACAGCTCTAAAAAAACAAACAAACAAGGGTGTGCACACTTTTGAGTATTTGCTGTATGCCAAACCAGTTTTATGGGAGTGCTATAAGCTTTCTGGTGTAGAACCATTGAACTATCTGCCTTCAGCAGAGGTAAGGACTAAGATATTGTAGTTTTGGGATGCTTGAGTCGTAAGGGCTAATTTTGGATACATCCCTGCAGAGCTGATGAATTTCCTCATCATCACTGCAGCAGCCCGTTGGAGGGGGCATTCTTTTGATTTAGGTGTTGGTTAAGGGATTAAGATTGAACAAATAACCACAGTTTTAACCATTCAGTCTCTCAGCGATGGACTCTGGACAAGAGTTTTCAAGGCAATGGAAAAAATGAAACCCTGGAGCAAAACATGCATATGCTTTGGATTAGTGTAAAATTAATATGAAATAAAATAACAATTAATAAAAAAAATGCTATATGAGTTAAAAAAGATCACAATATATAATATTGTACTATAATAAGATACGCAGTTTTAGACAAAAAGCATGACAAAATGCAGCCCTCTAGCACTGGAGAAAGGCAGCCTGGCCCAGTCTTTTATATTTAAGGAACTAGTTTAAAAATGTATTTGTTTATGTATACATATTAAAAGACTTTCAAGATTTGTGTTGAATAGCCTCCTAACTTCCGTTATTAAGGGTTTCAACAGAGAAAATTGATGCAGGCTGATTAACACTGATGTAATCGGACCAAATATTAAGATTATATATTGTTCTCCTGCTTCTCTGCCCCCCTTAGAAATATGACGGTTCGTGTCGAACTGACTTCAAGAAAACCAGATCGAAGCAGGATGTCATCCAGGTGTTCAAGAACTTTGTTGGAGGGGATGCCGACATCATTGTACGTAGCAGTCAGTCAGTTATTTAACTGTTTTCCTGCACACTTACTGTGAATTTAATCAAGCGAGAACACATGCAAACCTTCTATGCATATCCAAATAAAACAGCACATTTCTGCAGGCGTTACCTTTTAGTCTGTCTTCACCCACACAAAAAACACAGGCTGTGTAAGCTTTTACATCCTTGTTCAGTATTTAGACAGTGCCAACAGAGTGACTTTGTTGTCTCTGTGCTTACATTTTGGAATGACTTGAAACAACTAGGTGATTAAATCATGAAAAAAATAAACATATTGGAGGTGAGGGAACATTTCAAGCTTCTTTGCAGAAAGTAAATATTCACACTACAAAGCTGTTTGAGTTTTGGTGCACAAACATAAGCTCTGCCCCCATGTTAGTATGCAATAGCATTTTAAATGATGGATTAAAACAAAATTCAAAGTGTGATCCCTGTTTTTTTTTTTTTTTTCTTTATGGGAAATGCAGAAGTCTTACCTGCTCAGGCTAAAGGAGATCCGACAAGCCCTGCAAACATCTGAATTCTTCAAGCAACACGAGGTGAGGGCTAATGCTTGCTGTGAGGATGAGTTTTGTGGAAACAGAGAAAGGAATTCTGACTCTGAAGCTTTCTGATTTTAAAGCTTATTTTTCTGTTTATATGTGATGTTTGGATTTAATTTTCAACAACACTAAAAATTCATCAATGTGTTTGTAAAGCTTTATATTTTTAACACAGTTATTTTTAAACTAGTGTTAGAAATATTACTGAGTTTTTGATGTTCCTGCCACCTATGGCCAAAATACAGAACTGCAGCACTCTTTTGCTCATTCTCTTAGCTGGTACTTAAAGAGTTTTCTATTTTAAAATATTTTTTTTTCAGCCTCCCTAGAGTTGCCATTGGTGTGGTCTGAGTTGAGCTGAATGCCAGTCGCTTCAGAGTGTCCACATAATCGTGACTATAATGAAGAGTGCAGGAACTTCCCCCCAAATTAATCAAGGAAAATAGGCTGCAGGCTCATAGATGCATCAGTGCTGAACTACTGAAGCTTTATCTGCTCATCAAACGATGTTTTAGTCATAAATGGTCGAATAAAAAGACTATTTTTAAAGTATTTTTTCAGTAAAAAAAATGTCTGTTTAAGTTGGGAAACGTCTTATTATTATTAAAACTAATTTTTAAAGAAAATCTGGCCAGTTAGAAACTTAAATACTAAAACCTTCATATTAATATTCAAGCACATAAATACATTTAAACAACTTTGTGAAATTAGCATATTCACCTCATAATTACGAAGTCTGTTTATTTCAGTCTGTGCTGAAGCCCCTCCCCCTCAGCTAGTTCCCTTAAATATATCACATCCCTCATGGGTTGTTTTGTTACAAACACATTTTTGGTAGGGTGGTTTAAGTTCATGTAGTAAGAAATCCCCCAAAATCAATGACTTTTACTTCAACTGTTACATTGAATATCCGTTTAATATTTTGTAATTTAAAATCAAGACCTTTCTATTCAAGATACTGAAACTTTCAGTTATTCACACATGATTTAAAAATATACAAACAAACACCCACAACTTATGTTAATCATCCCTCAGCAGATTACAGAGAAAACAAGAACCTTTTTTAGAGAGCAGCAAGCTTCTGTCATCATTCTCACTGCATATTTAGTACAAAAAAAACAACAACTTTATGATAAGATTAGTAGATTTTCTTGTCCCTCTAATAGAAGGTTTTTGTACCACATGTTTGGGATTGATGATGCATCATAACACCCAGCTATGTCCATGTAGCAGCCATTTAGCTGTGGATTTGAGCTGAAGTTGAGGAATTTAAAAGTAGCCTTCATACGTTATTTAACCACACTGTGTGTTGTGTCAGTAAAGCTGTCCCACATCATGATGCTACCACCACCATACTGGACAGCTGCTGCAGAGTTCTGTAGAAATAACTAAATTTTAGATCAGTTTTTCTTGTCAACTTGAAGGCGTTGATCCAGTGCAGTTTTAATTTCTTGGGAACCTATTCTAATATTTAATTTTTAATATACAGTGAATTAATTTCATCACTGATGCACTTTATGAAATGGAAATGTTAATTTCACTGCTAAGCTGCTGCTCATTCACTGCCTGAAAGCTGTACAGAAAATGTTTTGTTTTGTATACACTGTTGTAGACAAAATAACAAGACAGTTGTCTAAAGTCTAAAAGCCTAAATGAATTAGGGGGTTAAATATTATAAGAGCAGTTCTTTTCCTTCTTGCTCCAAAGATTTTTAAATGAAACTGAAAAATAATTAAGTTTTGATAATGAGTTGATAAAAAAATGTTTGAGCTTGAGCTGACTGCTCTTACTCATAGATTAACAAACACACATATGCAATACATATGATAGTTCATGTTTATATATGCATGTGGATGGGAGTGTAAATCTGTTTGTTTTCTATATGCATGACTGTATTTTTGCATTTAGTTTAATATTTTTTCAGATTGTATATTTAGGTAGGTTTTTTCCTCTCTTGAATGGTCCACAATCTGGTTTGAGAATTGACGTTTCTCAGTTGTGAGATTAATCTTATGTTGCTTTTTTCTCATTTTATGTGATCTTAAAACTAAAGGTTTATTATGATATCTCTCTTATTTTCCATCAGGTTATTGGCAGCTCCCTCCTCTTTATCCATGACCATACGGGCCATGCAGAGATCTGGATTATTGACTTTGGAAAGACCACAGCATTGCCTGAGGGCCAGACTTTAAGTCATGACATTCCCTGGCAGGAGGGAAACCGAGAGGATGGATACTTGTGGGGCTTGGATAACCTCATCCTCACACTGGAGGCTGTATGCAATGAAGGGAGCATAGAGGAAACTGAAGACAACAGCCTAACTACAGACATACCCATCCAGTGACCTTTGAAGGTGGAGGGAACTTCAGATATCCACAAAAAGACACTTGGGGTGGTGGTACACACCTTCATTTCTTTTGGGTGAATTATAAGTACAGAAAAAAAAAATCCCCTTCATATATTTGGGGATCCTACAACACACAAGAACTCATTTAGTGCTGACACTGACAGGAGAATCCCAATGAACACTGTACAGAGGGGCACTGGGAAGTTTCTTTAAAGTAAGTAATTATTTCTGGTATACACTGACACTAATTCATCTTCCTGTGAAGTGAACAGAAATGAAAGAGCAGGATTTCTGCCTTCAGTTTACTTGGATGAGAATAATAATAATAAAAGAAAATCTAGCGGGATCCATCTACTGTAAAAGCCTTACTTGTAATATTAAAGTCTTCTACTGACAGTCCTCACAGTTGTACTACAGCATTAAAGCGCATCGTTAGAGAAGCACTGCGTAGATTTAGGACTGCTATGAGTTGTCTTCATAATTTCCTTTTTTTATGAAATTGAATTTAACTTTCTAATAAGACTTCACTGATAAATGTGTTACAGCACATGATTATAAAGAAAATCAGCATACAGTTAAATAAATCAAGATGTTTTAGAAATAACAATGGATATTGGTTTATTTTTTTACTAAGAGCAAAAAACCATGGAGTATGAAACCAGAGGTTGAATCCATATTGGGTGTAATAAAGATAGAATTGTTACATGCATAGTGATTTTTTGGTACTGTAGGATATGGTATTTTCATTAACTAATCACAGATTTTAAATGAACAGTTTTTATTGCTTGGAGACTTGTGGATTTTTCAGGCTTAGAAATAATTCAACATATTCTCATTATCAGTTCGTATGAAATCGTACGAAAAGCTATGCACCGTAATTTGGTACGTTTTGGACGTTTTAACATACAATTAACCCTAACCCTGACCCTAACCCTAAGATATAAAACAGCAAGCAACGTAGTTAGAGACACGAAGAAGTAATTATTGCGCTGTTTTTCCCAGTTTTACGTCGGATCTGCTTTTTTTGTCTGTCTGCCTGCGCATGCGCACTGATCTGTTTTTTTGAGGAAAAACGTCCAAAACGTACGAAATAGTGTGCATAACTTTTCGATTTCATACGAACTGATAATGAGAATATGTTGATAAACCTTAGATATTGCTGCTGTAAGGGGTTTACAATGGGATTCATTGAAGCCGTGGAATATTTTCCTAGACAAAATAAAGTTTTAAAATAAAAAGAATGTGTTTTTTCCTTTATAACTATTAATGATCAGTTCTGCTTACAGGGACACTCATTAGTAGTCTACTTGGATAATTCGTATGTTTTGTGCTTCTTTATCAGTGAAATAAGCTTGCAGATGTTAAACGTTTTAAAGAATAAATCACAATGTTTGATCAAAATGTGAGCTAAATAGAAAGAAACTGAGGAAGGGAGAATGGTGCATTCACACTAGGAGGGTCCTTTGTTCCAAATCAAAAAATCAAATTGGAATACATCCACACAACCAGGATCTATGGCAGAGATATTAGGATGTCATTCAGGCTGGAGAAATGTGGCCAGATTCTGACAAGGAGAGGGAAGGTAATCCATACAGAGGGTAATGCTCTCACAAAAGCGAGAAGACATAGAAGAGAACTATAACTACCTTGAAATACCACAACCACAAAGAGGCCACGAGGAAAGCAGCAGCAGCAAACTATCTGCAGTGTGTAAACAAGTTCTGAGAAGTCTGGGCAGTCAACGGCTATGTCTTACCATTAATCAGATAATGTGCTGCGATAATGCATTGGCCTCAAAATAAACATCTAGGCTCCATGAATTCATCAGGTAGATGACCCCAAGGCATGAAACTCTCAGTGAATGACTCCGATAGTGGAAGCTGAAAAATAGAGGAATTGGAAGAACCATCATGGGAGGAAAAACCCCTGCATGGGATGCACCGCCTACAGAAAGTTGAAGTGGCTGATATGACCAAATCTTGTAATATATATATATATATGTGTGTGTTTGTTCATTGCTTTCATAATGTACTTGTTGCAAATGAACCATAACCATAACAAGCATGAGTGTTATAATCTTTTCTCTAATCGGATATTGTGATGGGACATAACATAAACCTCAGAAAAGGAGGAACAATACTGGATTGCTGTGTGCAGCACATTTGTTCCTGCCTGTTATTACAGAGCGAAAAATGTGTGAGTATTAAAGGAAGCAGCAAACTCAAGTCAGGTTCTGGGTTTTTTTACTTCTAACTTTGGAGCAAGTCACAGCATGCTGGCCGCAGCATTGCTAGACAACAGAGGGCAGATCAGATATGATTTTAGTACTCTGTTTATTGCTGTTTAGTGGCTGGTTTAGTTCAAAGAGTTATCTGGAGTTGGATCTGATTAAGGCTGGTTCATATTCACACTAGGGGAAGCGCAGGCCTAGTGGGTTAGAACAGGGCCCTTGTGCTTTGAGAAAGTTGCAAGTACCCGTTCGATCCTCACAGAATGTACTCTGGGGCCCTGAGCAAAAAGACCCTTAACCCCACACCCTCCCCGGGTGCTGCATGATGGCAGCCCACTGCTCCCTAAGGGGATGGGTTAAATGTAGAGATATATTTCTCAAATGTAAGATCAATAAAGTTCAATTAATATTATAAGGAGCAAGCCACAACAGTTTTGTTTTAAGATGGACTCTAAAAAGTAGGTCTGTTTGTTTGGTCCAGACCAGGGTTCACTTTAACATATCCACACCTGCAGGAGAGGTACACACTGACCAAAGGAAAAAACAAACTGTGGTCAGTTTAAAGCACATGAAACACGTTAAAGCACCCATTGAACAAAACTGAGAAACACAGAGTCTCCTAACTTCTGAAAAATGCAAAATAGAAAAGAAATCCAAATACACACACACAAGCAAAAAAATAATAAATAGGGATAAACTATTCATTGGAGGTTATGGACAAAAACAATTAAACAACAACAAAATAAACAAACAAGAAACAGGGCAATTGCTAATTTCTTATTGAAAAAGAACCACTAACAGCTCAGAGGTTTTAGGTTTCTAACCCATGATCTGGCTGTGAAAGCTAAAATAAAAAGTAAAAAATCTAATTGGTCAGTGCTTTTCATTATAGGAAACTAGTTTAGTGTTATGACTTCAGTATATGGACCATAACAGGAGCCAAGACCAATTCATCAGGACCATGTACCCTTATTGGCCCCCTATCTAGAATGGGCCATCACATCTCTGATGATTATGTCATTTATTGATGTCAAGAGTTTTGGAAACTTCTGTAAAAAGAAATACCTTTTGGAAAACCCAGTACTTTGAGTGACTACTTTACACCCCTCATATGTTTATTCAGTCTATCCTTAACTTTCAGCAATGGTGCTATACAGGGGCGGATCTAGGATTCTAGGAGATCAGGGGCTTAGCCCTAAGGGTGGAGATGAGAGTGTAGACTTTCTGGTAAATCCTGTTCTAATGTCAAATACGACAGATTACTTGATTAAAGAAATTTGTAGTATACTACATGCTGTCACACATAACATGGGAAGAAATGAATTGAACTGCAAGTCTTTAACTGTGTTTATTCCTTTCCTCATCAACAACAAACTCTGTGGATTTGGTGACATTTCATAATTATTTGCTAGAGTAATGAGAGGGAAATCATATATTTTAGCCACCTGATATAATCCGTCACCCCCATGAAATGGCTCTCCATACATTACATGGGAAACAAACTAAAGAGATCCTTTGAAGTTTAAAACTGTCATTATTTTTCTACATCATGTTTGAAATATTTATTATTTTATATTTTTTTTAATCCAAAATGGTTAAAACAAATATAACTGTTGATTTGATGATGTTTATGAATATTTTTAATTCTCAATTCAAAATGTCTGGAGTAGCGTCGCTCCAGACATTTTGAATTGTGAAATCTTTATGGATGTAAAACGAGTCCAGTGGTTTTGGTTTGAACTTTTTTTTTTTTATATTTGTAAATTTTTAGATTGTTAGATACATTTAAACAGAAAATGCATTTTATAAAGATCATCCTGGGGAGAACGGATTATATCAGGTGGCTAGCGTCTGTGATTTTCCTCTCATATCTCTGGCAAGTAATTATTAAACGTCACCAAATCCACAGGGTTTTTTGTTGATGAAGAAAGGGATAAACACAGTTAAAGATTTGCAGGTGAATTCATTTCTTCCTATATCATGGAGGAGGAACGGATTATTTTAGGCAGCTGAAATATCCATTCTCTCCTCTCCTTCTCCCATATCTTTGGGAAATAAAGAGCATCTGTTTCCCAACTTCTCTCAATTTTTTTTTACATGTGATAACATGTCATATACTAGAAATATCCTTAATCCAGTAACGTGTCATATTTTACATTAGAGTGGGATTTACCAGAAAGTCTACACCCTGATCTTTTCAGGAAGTCTCAATTTTGGTGCCCTGTTATCAGCCTGTTTCCATCCTCTTATATCAGCAATTGAAAAATTATAGATACACGCTACTTTTAGGAAAACTCTGTTTGGTGACTGACTTTTATTTCTGCCAGGCTTCAGTGAGAGAAGTTGTAAAAAGACAAATTCTCTTGGCGTTTCAAAAAACATCACATGCTTTCCTGCATATGCTGCCATTATCTGGTTAATTCCAGTACTGCACATTTTCCTCAGATCAGCTCAGTGAGATCCAGGGCTCTGGGGAAAACATCCAGGGCTGTAGCCCAATTAGCCGCCTCCTAGATCAGCCACTGGTGCTATAATAAGCGCCTCCCTGGGTTTATGCAGCCATATGGTGCTCATGTTTTAGAAATCAGATCTTTTTAGGTTTCGTTTTACTTAACAAGAGTTTCTAGAGTGATATTTTAAATGGACACAACAAAGTATAAAAGTGGGATTAAGCTTAAAGAGCAGGAATGCAGGCCTTACTGTAGATTCAAAACTGATATAATTCAGACACATATTCTGATGTATTTAAGGATTTGGAACAAAAAGACTGAAGTCAGTGGATTGTGTTAAAAATTTTTGTATTATAGGTTTTCCCACAGTCATTTTTCATTAAAAAATACAGTAATTTTAAGACAGTATGGTCTATGAGTTATCCACAAATACTCAATTATGCACTCTGTAAAATAGGCATCCTATTTCCAGAGATTTACCAGCAGGTTTAGAGATCTTTAAACATTTTATTTACAAGTCAACAACTGGAGATTAAGAAACTAATATTTATAAGCCCAAGCAAAATTAATACAGAGGATCCTTAAAACCTAGAAAATTAACTCAGAATAATATAAATGAGAAAAGGAGCTGAGGTTATAAATGATAAACTAATACACTTTCCACATAAAATAATACACTCAAAAAATGTAGATACTGCATTTCCTCCTACTGGGCAAAGCAGCAGGTAAGAAACACTATCTAATGGCAGTGATCAACTACAGAGTCAACATCAACAATAAAATAGGTTACGAAATGTAAAGGGTTAGTCCAGTGTTCAGACATGAGTATAAAAATAAAGATTTTCACAGCTGCATTACATTAACTAACAAGAAATGCCTACTGGCCACCTAAATACCAAACTATGAATAAAGAACTTTGTTTTTCAATCCTTGCTGAAGAGCAGCATTCTTTGTTTTAAGTCTTTTTCTTATAATAAAAATGTCATAATAATTAGTGAGGACGTTTTGACCTAACAACCATAGAGAAGGGCTGCTTTACATTTCTAAATGAGACATCTGTACCAGAGGTGAAAAATCATCTTAGAATAACAGGTAAGCATGAGATGATGTAATAAATCTTATTACAGTTTTACCAAATAAACCATAATTAAACTGGAAATGCAGTCGCTAACTTCAGCAGGTCAGAACAAAAAACATATAGAATAGAGCTATATATCTATAAAAAATATAAAATGAATAGTCAACAAATAACATATACCCTTACATGTTAAAACATAGTACCAAAACGCCAGAATGAATGAAAATAGCATTAAAATTGAAAAATAAGGAAATATAAATATGGAAAAAAAATTGATTTTATCTGTATTTTAATTAAGTAAGACTGAGTTAACCTGCAGCAGCTTTATTGGTAAATCTATTACATTAATACCTTTTTGCATCTGCAATCACCTACTGGGTAACCACAGGTCTTATAGACTCCATATTTCTAAAGGCAAAGATCTATATCTGTATGTGTGTGTCTAAATATATATACACAGTATGGAGATATATATGTATACATACATATATATCTCCATACACACACACACATATATATATATGTATACACGTATGCTCACAGCTGTATGGTCATATTCAAATTCTAGCCATTTATTTAGTAAACACAGCATCTGAAGGATATAGGCAGTAAGTAGGAACATTTACCCAAAGAATGTCATTAATCCTGACTTAAGTCAACATTTCCAGTTCTGGACAGATGTTCACAGACTGCATGGCTTTCAATATAATATCAATTTGGAGCTTTTAATACATTTTATTAACTTTTTATATTTTCAAAAAAACAACCGAATAAAGTAGATTGAACCATCTATCTGTTGCCTTGACCCTCTTAGTGCACAGCAACAGTCAAACTGGCAGTGGCAGTCCCAAAGCATGACGATACCACGGTCATGTCTGTCAATGTGTACAGTTCACTTAGGCTTAAAGCTTCTTCACATTGAGGCCAATTTACCCTCAATTAGTTCATTTTTCAGCAGAGGTTTGTTACGTTACCCACAATGTCTCACTTACTGTATACCAGCTTGACTGTAAACACTGACTGGTCTACATGCAGTTTCCATTTTATGATTGCTCGAATGACCTGAACTTGTGTGCAATTATTTGGACAGATATTATCTAATTCACTTAACTGTGAGACCAATAAGTGCTGTAAAACAGATCTTCTTTTGTGATGCAAAGAGAAGTCCTCAGCTGCACCCAGTTCTGATCACAATCAAGAAATTAAAGACATTTGCATTATGTAGAAAAAAATCCTTCCTGTTTAACAGTTATTTTTATTTAACCCTGAAACTGAGACAGTTTGTGCAAATCTGATTCTTGAACACAAAGAAATCCTCAATAAATTTAAGCCTATGCTTCATGTGTTTTTCTTTATACATAATGACCATTTTATGTCAGAAAGCAGAAACTGAGAACTCAACGTCTCCGCTAATGAAAAATGGATGAAAACCTTTGACAGAAGCATAGGAATAGCACAATAACATAAACCTAGACGCAGATCCAAGTAGGATTGGCAAAGTGTTTCTTCATAAACTCCAGTGATTACAGCATCATCTACATATAGATTAATGTAGACGAAAGATTAAACAGATAAATGAAACAGAGAAATTAGCTAATATATATTATAGGGGATTATAGGAGGTATAAAGATGTAAATAGCAACATCTGTCCAGATGTAGAAAAAACTAATGGGGGTCGTACATATACTGTATATAAGGGGGAAGAAAACAACATAAAAGAATAAAAAATAGGGTAAATGAAAGTCTTTATGTAGATGAAAAAAAGAAAAAAAATGAATAGTTTTACTCTTAAATTCTAAAATGAAAGGATAGTAAAATTAGAGCAAATGCTTTAAACTAAAAAGATGTCATTTGTTTGGCACAAATTTGCAGTTTCTTTTTTTTTTTTTCAATTGTTTTCCTTCTGAGTTCATTTGTCCAACACATCCATGGTTGTGTGTTTAATAGTGAAAGAAGCTGCTAAAAACCAAATTACTTTTTTTTCTTACATATATATTATGACCTTAAATTAAATATGCGCCTCCTTTATCTGAAGGCTTTGCTAAATACCCTATTGACCACAAGATGTCAGTATTTCCTAAACAGTGACTCAAAACCTCTTGAGGTTCAACATATCACACTTTTGCCAAAGCTCTCCTGAAATAAAAGCAGGATAAAAAGACAACTACATAACAGCGAAAATATTTCAGCATCAGTGTTTAGCTACCTCTGTAGGCCACTCAGTACAGCACTGCCTCTGTGTTAAAATATAGAGGATTTAAGTAAAAGTCAGCATTTCATTGAGTTTTCCAGCATATCAGGAGCTGCAGTCATTTAATCCTTTGACTCTTTGCAGAGCTCTTCGTCCAGTTGACAGATTTAATCAGAATCAAAGTCTCTGTGGCCACATGCTGATTTCTAAATGTGGGCGACACTCAGGTCCTCAGACAGAGAAAAGCCAGAGTCCCTGTCACGACTGAGTTTCTCTGTTTTAGTGTGTCTCCTCACGTCCTCATGCCCGTAGCTAGCGTGACGTTTCAGCAGAAGTTTAGGCATACAGGCTGAGGCGGTGCTGAAGCCCAGGGCCAGACCCAGACTGGTCCCTGGTGCAACGCTCTGAGGACCGCTGCGGCTGGTGATGGCTTCTGAGACTTTGGGCTTCACAAGAGGAAGACTCTCTGCCTCGTAGCTCTGCTCATCATAGGCATAGTTGACATTTCCACAGGGGAAACTCTGGAGTTTAGCCAGGTCCATTCCAGCATTAGTGGTGCTGCCTGCTGGAGCCTTGTGGGCAGACATAGGAGGGGCAGCTTGAACCTGGCAGGCTGGAGATAAAGCTGGGCTGAGGTAGGTGCTGTTGGTTCCATCACAACCAGTTTTGTTGTTTTCTGCAGTAGAGCTGCAAGACTGGGGGTTGGAGGTTGAACTTGAAAGCGGCATAGACTGAGTGTGAGCCAGTGTCTTCTTCCCCCTGAAGTTTTCCAGCACCCATGAGCCATATGTTGGGTTCCAAAGGTTCTTGGTCTTGTTTTTCAGCCTTTGACTTCCTGAGGAGGAACTATTTCTGGAGCAAGGTCGGTGAGGCTGAGGCTCTGGATGCAGAGAAGTTGCCCCGGCAGACGAACAAGGGGCAGGAACGGTTTCTGCCCAGGACGGCTCAAGCACTTCACACAATGAAGTCACCTCTTGATGGACCGGTTGGGTTCTTTGTAGCAGAAGGCGAGGTTTGGTTGGTTGTGGGGGAGGTGCAGGTGGAGTGAAACCCTTTGGGGAGAAACCAAGCTGGGAGGGTGAATCTTTGCAAACAGGGCGTGACACCAGTAAAGGAGTGAGACTGGCTGAGGTGGGGGCATTGGGACGCATCACTGTGCCTCCGCCATCTTCTGTGTTGGGGCCATATTCAACAGGCAGAGGGGTATTTATCACGTCAGGGTCCTGATAAAGAAAAAAAATCACTTAATTATTGCATCTGAATTTAGTTTTACTGGCAGTAAAGTTTAGTGTTAGTTTAAAGTAGAAATGTACCTGTGTGCAATAGTTAATTCTCTCAAGGATGGTGGCGAAATTGGGCCTGTGATCTGGACAGTGCTGCCAACACTGGGTCATGAGTCGATAGCTTCAAAACAATAGACACAAACAGATCAGTTCTTCTGTTTAATTATCATCTTATCGACCCTGTAAACTGCTTTTCACAATGAAATGTTTTAATAATGAAATATATTATTCATAGTTGATTAAGTTGCACATAGCAAACTTTGAAATCAAATTATAATTTCTTCCAGTTGACAGAAAAATACTTTTCTGTACAAACTAGTCCTTTCCTTATAATTTTCCAACGCTTCTTTACGTAAATGTTTTTAATTTGGCCATTTTGGAATATTTTAAAGCACGAAAAAGCTTAGGAGTCTTGCTGATGCATCTAATTAAATTTATTGAAAAAATTAATTGAAAATAGATTAACTCTCTGCATTTAAACCATCCCCTTGGGGAGCAGTGGGCTGCCATTGTAGGGCACCCGGGGAGCAATTGGGGGATAAGGGTCTTGCTCAGAGACTCAAAGTGGCATTCTGTGGGAGTGCCACAGGATTCCAAGTCCTATGCCCTAACCACCAGTCTGCCACTACTGTATCTATATTAGACTAAACCCAGAAGCCTTTATCATCAGAGCAGTGGACTTATTGGTGGTGTCTTTAGGATTATTGTCCTGCTGAAATATTCTTGGGTGTTTGGTCACACAATGCTGTCCGAAGATTTTCTGCTAGGAAGCAAATTTATGGTTCCATCAGTTACAGTAAGATATCCAGGTTCTGGTGTGACAACGTGGTGCAGGACTATAGAAGAGCCACCATGGTCTTTGTCTACTATCCTGTTCATTTCACACCAGTTGAAATGTGATGCAAAACTTTCAAAAAGTTGTTCATCTACTTGGCATTACAAAAGCAATACCGGGTCATTTTAAGGAGGAGAGCTTAAACCTCAATGATCAGATACTACTAGATCCTGGAGGACACTAAAGCGGCACTCTCAGGCAACAGATTTAGATATGGTTAAATATTGAAAAGAAAGCCATTGCAAAAATAAGTTGTTAAGGGGGATAATATTTCTGAAAAACAATTGGAACTGTATGACTTTATTAGAATAACAAATCATTTCAAATATCTCCTAATGATGAAAGAAAACTTGCTCCAGCTATGTTTACTTCTTAAAGTATTTGTGGCTGTTCCTGCTGGACTGAGCTGATCCCACATCTGAGTCTGTACTCACGCAGGTCCCGGGCAGCCCTTAGGGGGATCCATTCTGCCTCCGCTGGTGACAAACTCAAGAACCTCCTGGTTGGTTTTACAAGGGTAAGGCATGTAGCCCAGAGAGAGGATTTCCCATAGTAGGACTCCAAATGACCTGCAGGGGGAGACACAGACTATCAGGCATGGTAATTTTTTTGCTTTTACAAACTCTTCAAGCTGTTGTTCAGATAAGAATTGTTGAAATTAATCATTAAGCAACACACTAAAGATACATATCTAGAAGTAAGATTATGTGACTTATTGAAGTCTGCAAGTTTTTCTGACAGAGAAGAACCAATACCCAAATTGTCAAATAAAAACTCTATCTTTCTCTATAAATATATAAATAATAAAAAAAGTGAAAATTCCCCTCCCCAGTCAAATCTAAGGTTTTTATTTTGTAAAAACATAACATCTCAATCTTTAATATGACCTATAACATGTTTAACACAGTCGAAAAATAGACCAAAATTGTTCAGTGAGGTAAAGAAAAAGTAAACATCTGAGACAAGGTCATTGCACAAGTGAGCACACCCTTTTATAACTTGGGATGTGGCTGGGTTCAGATTAAACCAGTTACATTCAAAGCGATGGTAAACTGGAGTCAGCAGTCACCTGTAACCAATTAAAGCACCTCGGATCAACCCCAAATACAGCTCAGCTACTCTAGTAGGATTTTCCTGACATTGGCGTTGCCACGTCTTTCAGCACAAGACACGGCCTGCAGAGAGCTTCCAAACCATCAGAAGAATCTCTTTATTTAAATGATATCAGTCAGGGTAAGGCTATAAAATAAATAAATTGACTGTTACCAAACACAGCAAAGATTTTCATCTTAAAGTGGAGAATATATGGCACAACAGTGACTTTACCAAATGATGTCTCTCCTAAACTGATAAGATGGGAAGAAATCTCATCATGGAGGTTGCTAAAACTGTCAACAGCAGCACTGAATGAACTGCAGGAAGTTCTGGTAAGTGCTGGCTGAAGTACACATGACAACAATCTGCTGTCTTCTTCATATGCCTGGGCTATGGGGTAGAGTGTCAATCTTACAGAGAAAAACATAAAACACCAGCTTAATTTTGCAAAAAGACATCTGAAATCTCCCAAAGGTATGTTGGAAATGTGTTATGGTCTGATGAAACCAAGGTTGAACTTTTTGGACATGGCATGTTTGGTGCAAAAACAGCTCTGGTTATTAACAAAATAACATCATACCTACAGTAAAGCATGATAGTGGCAGCATCAGGGAATTTCATCAGAGGAGCTTCATCTTTTAGTATGACAGTGACCATAAGAACACATCAAAATCATCAAAAATAATGGCAGCAATGTAGTAAGACTGAGGCTTTGGAATGTCCCAGACCTAAAACCCATCAAATATCGGTGGGGTTATCTTAAGAGAGCTGTGCACTGGGGCTTTATCAAGCTGTGAATTTTTTCCAAGTTGACTATTTTACACTAGGAGTTGAGTCACTGCATCGGTCTATGACCGAGGGGTTGGGTGGGGTGTGGCCTAAAATGACTTGCAGTACATCTTACTGCAGCAACGGTCTTGGTTATATCAAGTAGGTCTAATCCAGCTTTTATTGCTAGCTGCAGTATGTGTTCTACTAAGTCCATAGAATAAGCTAATAAGAGACCAGTTTTGCATGCTGCAATGCAAGCCCACACCTGCCAAAAGGACGCAACTTTTGAGTTGTCCAGATGCGAGTCGGTTTTTGGTGAATGCCCTACTGTTCACAGGAGATGCCCATTTAATCATTCTAATTTGGAGAGGTTTCTCAAAAAAAGCAGGCAAATATGCTTAAACAAAGTTGTAGTTTAAGGGTGACCATGTTGCACAGTTTAAAATAGTTTCTTTGCCTATGAAATGTTTGTGAAAATATCTATTTGCAAAAGTTTGTTATTTTTTGCCTCATCATTGGTTCCTAAGCATGACATTTTCAGTCCCTTTAAAGACTCTTCTTTAACTAAATGTTTGGAGCTACAGCTTTGGGATGTTTGTAAAGTCTTGAATAAATGCGTCATGTATACCAGGTATCGGTCTTGCAGGTGAAGATTCCCTCCATAAAGGCCTCTGGTGGCATCCATTTGACTGGCAGCATGGCCCGACCACCTTTCCTGTAGTAACTTGCCCTAAGAAAAACAGATTCAGTCTTCACATTTTGAACCCAAACATCATTGACCCAGGGGACATGAACTCTCTGTTCATTTAGAGTCTGGCCCCATGGGGGAAAATTAGATTTATTTTTCAACTAGTCCAAGGAACATGGCTAAGCTGTGTTTTTGCTCCAAGGAGACACATGATTCTGTTTTGCTGGGTGCTCCTTGTAGCCCCTGCAAATTCAAAACACAAACCTGTAAATGTCTCTAGCCATGCCGAAGTCTCCAATCTTAGCCACTCTGTCTGGTCCAGGACAGGTAAGCAGGCAATTTCTGGCAGCAATGTCCCTGAAAAACAATAAGGGCATTAGCAGGTGCAGTTCTCAAACTGTGCATCTAATGTCTATTTGATCCGTTCCCTCCACTGGTAGACTGAAAACAAACATAAAGCTGCATTTATTTCTAGTTATGAGCATTGTGTGCACAGGTTTCTATTTATTTGTGTTTTCATGTCGTTCACAGTGTAACATTATAAACAAATACACATTGCTTTATATATTGTCCTAAACAGGGTTCAGGTTTGGGCATATCCAGAAGCTTCATCTGGGCCTTGTTGAGTCCAGTTTAAACATAACTATTAGGAATCCCTCCTTCTGTATTCTTCTACCCTTTTTTCTACAAAGAACACTTAAACATACTGACAGTTTAGGAAAATATATATATTTTTAAATCCTTAAAGCTGAGATTTAATCAGACATTCACACCAGCGAGGAGTGGATAGAATCTCCTGACCAGTGGAGTAGCTCTGCAGCCTTCCTCACCTATTTAACCTGTGCAGGTATAAAACCTAATTATGTAGATGTCAATGAATATAGTAATTTTTCGTGGTTTGTCACAGTAAAAAAAAAATGGCATCAACTGTTATGTAAGTTTATGGCTGCTTTTCCCATTAATGTATTTTTGGACCTTTTATCTAGAGCCTGCAGGTTTCATTTATAATTAATTACAGTTTTTACTTTGGGCTTTACAGTCTTGCTCTAACAACTGAACATGAGGCTGAACCTGGTGAACTGTAAAGTGCCTTGAGATGACGTGTTGTGAATTGGCGCTATATAAATAAACTGAATTGAATTGAACCTGTGGATGAACTGGTTCTCCTCCAGGTATCGACAGCCACATGCGATGTCTCTGGCCATCTGCAGGAGGTCCCGCATGGTGAGAGATGAGGTCTGACCCTGGAAACGGCACAGCTCTATTAACACGGGGCAAACAAAACTCAAGTGCACATAGAAAAGAGAATGCTGTAAAGCTGCTGTACCGCTCGTGGCCTGTTCTGCCTCAGGAAGCTTTTCATGTCTCCCCCTGTCATCAGTTCCAACAAGATGAAGCGAGGCAGGATGTTCAGACTGACACCGACGCAGCGGACAATGTTCAGGTGGTTGAACTTACTAAGAGGACAAAAAGGTGTTTAAGCAGTGCGGCAACAGAGTGAGATTTAAAATAGTATTTTTTGTTTAGGATTGTATACAATTATTATGCATAATTCCTAAAATCAAAACATGTGGTTGGCCCCTGCTTCATTGCAAGGCTGTTGTCATATTAAAAAATTAAGTCAGAAACAAACAGAGGTGGGTAGGGCAAACTCCGGCTGGTAATCAGTGATATCGGGCATTTGCCTGGTGGGCCGGTCCTAATTTCAGGGTACGAAGGCCGACCCTCCTTAAAGGAATAGTACACCCAAAACATGATTAGCCTTCATTTTCTACTCACCCCCATGCTGAACAACACTCTGGAGTACTTTTTTGATATCTCAAATGCATCTGGAGATCTGGGAGGCTTCTTGCTGTCTGCTGACATTCAAATAATGGAGGTCTATGGTGACCGAGACAGAAAGGTCCATAAAAGTCCACAAAAAACGTCGGCAGACCAAACCAGCGCATTCAGCTCGGCAAAGAACTCATGCTCTTCCTCAACACTGAAGTCCTCAGACATTTTTCTTTCGTTGTTTCTTTCTTTGCACAGGTAAACAGCACATTTCTTCTTCTACGCTTGCATTATTGGCAGAGCAGACGCTGAATGCGCACTTTCATCTGGTTTGTCTGCCGGCTTCCGTAGCCTCGTGAGCGCGCATGTGCGCGCTTTCAGGAAATCCTATACACTACTGTTTATGCTCTAAAAACATTCTAAATGACTTCGTTTCGAGTAAATTCTGGATGCTACCCACTCAGGACACTTGGAATACATTGGACGAGCAGTATGGAGGAATATTGACACGTTTTTTGTGGACTTTTATGGACCTTTCTGTCTCGGTCACCATAGACCTCCATTATTTGAATGTCAGCAGACAGCAAGAAGCCTCCCAGATCTCCAGATGCATTTGAGATATCAAAAAAGTACTCCAGAGTGTTGTTCAGCATGGGGGTGAGTAGAAAATGAAGGCTAATCATGTTTTGGGTGTACTATTCCTTTAAATCATAGTGACCCCAACACTTACTCTCTGGCCGAAGCACCTACCTGTGGCAATAAATAACTCAAGGAGCTCATTAAGTAATACAATGTTAACTATGTTAATGATGTATGCAGTATATATAGCCCTTCCTTGTCATGCACATCCTTGTGATGGTTGGCATATGGTGTAATTTTCTATTTCTTCAAACTGTAAAATATTTGGCAAATTTATTTTCAAATATTTTGCAAAAATATGTTGCGTTGCATGATGGGGTTTTGCATCTAAAGGCTAACGTTTCCCGTCTTACGTGCATTGCTGCCAGGTTAGGATGTTTCCCAATCTGGCAGTTTAGGATGGCCGTCTATGGGTAAAAAATGGTTTTCTTTAGATTTATGGCCTAAGAGATCAATAGTTTGTTCAAACTGGGTGAGATTTTGCATATACCTCTATATTGTATTGTTCTATGTTGGTGTTTTTACATTTGGGCTTAGTATTTGTGAGTGGGTGTCTGGTTGGCCTTGTGCAAATGTGAACGTTACGCAGCAGCAGTCACTGTCGCGTCCTTGTTAATAACCAAAGCCAGTAAAACCGCATTATAGAAGTCTAGGTGATGTTTGTCATGTGATGCTTGAAGATAGTTTGGTTAATCCACAATGTGTATTTGTACTGTTTCACATTTGAGACACATGCGTTTTTAACATAAAACTTAGAAAAGCAATCCTTACAATCATAACTGTATATATGTTCAAACTTCTAGAGGTAATATCTACTGTTTACTGTTTGTTGAACTGATTTTGGAATAGTTCAAATTACTCACAGAAGACAGAGTATTCATAGATTTTACTCAATTAGAAGCAGAGATACTTTACAAGAATATTACTCAAGTAAAAGTTGCATCCCCTCATTTGGCCAAATTTAAGAAAGTAACTGAAAGCACATTTAGTTGCACTAATCTTCACTAAAAGTGAGCAGAAACGGTGGCCATCTCTTCCAAAATCAGAGCTGCTTAGTGAATATAATATATACTTTTTTGTTTCTACATAGAAATCTTCCTCCATATAGTCTTTTCGCCTTGCTTAATGTTTTTAACTGTTGCACTTTCAGATTATTTAAATGTAAAATGCATTAAAAATGTAATTGATTATTATTGTATACCACTTAGTCTGAGAACTCCAAACTACATTTAGTCATTAACCCATTTATAGGCCGATGGTGATAAGCTACACTATAACCATTGGGCAAACTGACAGAAGCACATTGCCATACAATCTTTGCCCCCATGTCTTGACCAGCAAGACAAGCAAGACATGTACAGTGTCTTTTCCAAGGACAAATTGACCCCTGAACCACCAATATTTACATCCAATATTTAAAAATATGCTGTGGCCCTTCTTTTTTATTTTTGCTCCAGGTCCAGCCCTGTTTTATATATATATATATATATATATATATATATATATATATATATATATATATATATATATATATATATATATATTCTGCAAATAATGACATGCCAACCAGTGGAGCTCTACTTCTTCAGCAAGATATGAAAAGTTATTAAAAGGCATCATAGCTTGCAGTACAACTTGCATTCTTTTAGTTTTTTCAAATATCTCTCATAATAAAAAAACTTAGATTATATAGCCTACAGATGGGACTCTAAAAGGAATATTTGTATATAATATTGTGCAAAGCATGATTTGTATAAACTGTAATAAGTTGACCATTCTAAGTGATTAAGATAACAACATAGTAGATTCAGGGCACCATTAAATGAAAAGGCAGAGGATGAAGCTTTCACCATAGTGAGAGTATATTCTGTCAGGTTCACCTCATAATCAGAGCCTCCATCAGGAAATCCATTTCATCTTGTTCGGAGCAGATTTCTGGAAGGGTCTGTGAAGCAGAAAGAATCAGAGAAGCATTACTGCCATTTTCAAATGGACCCACATACGACCTAATCAACAGAGCACAGAAAAGTTGGCAACCTCCTGCAGAGAGCAACCTCCGCCTTACATTACTGTACACTGTGTTTGGATCTCAAGGGTCAGCTTGACAAATATTCTCTTTCAGTGCAGAAAAACTGAATTCTTCTGTTTCAGTCAAAAACACTGTTATAGAGTAACATATCCTCTAGTTTGAGCTTACCTTTATGGCCACCTGCATGGGACTGCCATCAGCACTCATTCCCAGAATTTGTCCCTCATAAACTTCACCAAATGCACCATGACCCAGAGCCCTAACGAAACAAAGGAAAGAGGAGAAACTCAATAAGAAGCTGAAGCATAAGCAAAGACCCATTTGGAAAAGTGTCTGATACAGAACCTGAGGAGGGTGATGTTCTTGCGTGGCACTTCCTTTAGATCGCTGAGAGAGGCAGCCTTGCCTGCAAAGCAGTAATTAGGGTTGTAGTCCGTCATGATGGTAGAGGACCGGATCTTGCTCAGCTTGTACTCTGGACTCTGCAGGCGGCGCCGCACTGCGTGCAGGTCGTTCTTCTTGCGGTACCACACTGCAAACAGAAGCAGAGCCAGACAATAAATTTAAATTTCATTTCCAACTCTTTCGAAAAGCCAGAGTCCTGACTTTATCTGGGTGCCCAGAGCTGCCTGCAAACTGCAGAGGCTGCCTCCAAACTGCTCTAGGTAGGAGCGTTAATGCAAGGAGGGATCAAGCCACATGGTACAAAGATAAAACAGGATATTCCATTAATTGGGCATCAAATATGGAGCGTAATATCAAAGAGCAGGAAATCTGTTCATGTGGGATGGCAGGAAATCTGTTCATGTGGGATGGCCTCTCCTTGGTTAGGGCTCCTAGGCCAACTTGTCCCTGAGGTTGGACTCACCCGCCATGGAGGCAGTCCACGTCCCCGATGCAGGTTGGTAGTCTGCCAGGGAGGGGGAGTTGGTGCAAGGAAGAAGGTGCCGTCGAGCCATCGCCCGGTGCAGATGCTGGGGAGGAGGGGTGGGGGTGAGGCGAAATGAGGAGGAAAAGGCAGGGTGGGAGGACTAGGGAGGAGAGGAGGTGGAGGAGATAGGGAGCACCCAGGGCACAGACTACCTCCCTGCATGGGGGAGAGCTCAGGTGAAGAGACACCATTTAGCTGAAGGGACCGTGAGAGATTCATGCTGGCTTTAACAGCCACTGATTTACAAAATGCCTCAAAACTTGTTAAAGAAATATGTCATTTATTCTCTGTTATTCACTTACAGGAACAAAGATTCACTCACTACTTGGTTAAAAACATCACAACTGCATTAGTTTAAACTTAACCATCTTAAACACGCTTGAAAACATTTTATTTAGTTTTTTCATTTAAACAGATATTTCAATCTTCAGTTGAAGAAACAAAGAAAAGTGTATTTTATTTAATCAAATAAACAGATAATAAAACTCTGCCAGCCATGCAGACTGTCAAACCTACTGATGGCATACTTTACAGAAAAAAGTCCTTGTTCGTTATGTGATTAGTTTTTTGTAAGAAAACCAACACATTTTTACATTCAACCCTGATACAAACACACACTTTGGTGTATTTTGTTTGAACCTGTTTGACAGACCAACAGCAAGTTGTTGTGATTGTGAAAAAGAAAACAGGATTTCCCTCTTTTTTTTTTTTTTTTTACAAAAAAAATATATAAAATGGTTTTGCACACATCCTAATCTTAATAAGCCATTTTTTTATCATTAAATTAAATAAGTTCTGATAATAAAGGCTAGTAAGTGTTTATTAGAGCTGTATTCATAGATTATTCTCCAGGGAGTTTTCATGTCTTCTCCAAGTACTCTCATTTTGTCCCACAGTCCTAAAACATGACTGTTATGTTAAGCGGTCTCTCTATGGTATGATTATATGCGTCATGCTTGTCTTATGTATGTGTATTAATAATCTCTGAAGGGTGTACCTCTTCCTCTAACTCAATAAACAATGTATAAAGGCACCAGTCATCTTTTATGAGCCTGATCAAGCAGGTTGCTGTGTTGGGTGTATAAATCTTATCAAAACCAGTAATGGAAACAATAACCTTTTTAACCAAGCTCTTAAATCTTCAGGATTTTACAAAGTGTGAATATTGCTGGTGGGTTTGGATTGTCATTTTATGTAGAGCTGTTTGGAAAAAAAAAAATCATTCACAGATGGAAAGAAACTTAATCCAATGGGGGGAAAAAACAACAACAAAAAAAACCCCCATCCCAATGGGGGTGGGCTGCATGACCAGTGTCATCAAACACAGTTTGTTACACATAAATAAATCCATGTGTTAGGAGGACCTGGGTTTGGTTATATTGGAAATGAACTGTAATCAAACAGGATAGGTACTATTTCCAGATTTTTAGAGTTTTACAAAAAACAAGCAAAAAAACAAACAAATTTAGTTCTTTTACCGGTATGTTTAAATGCCAATTGTATCAACTAAAATGAAAATAAAGAACTTTTCCAAATATCCAAATAATCAAGAATTAATCTCCGCAATCTTGGTGTCATTTAGCTACGACAACAGGGTGCAGGATAACTTTACACCACTGGAAATCTCCCACTTAGTCGAAGTTTAAGGAGTGGATACAGGTTCTAAGTTCAATGGCCAGCTACGAACGGGTAACCTATAGCGTGGCTGGGAGGGAAGACATATTCAATGAGGGCCCATTCCTAGCTCAATTGCTGGAGGTGTAAGGATGTCTCTTTCTACTAATATTTAATTAGATACAGGAACAGGAAATGTGTATATATAAAAAATATCATCTTGCATATTTAAATTTAAGGCATGTAAATAAGTAATGTAAAAGGAAAAAAACAAATTGCATGTGAAGAAGCCCTTTTTGTCTAATCTGAGGAAAATCTGAATAAGATATGACCTCAAAATTACCTTATATGGAAGAACTAGAATAACAAAGAATACATCTGTCCAGTCGTTGTTTCCAACATATGACAGTACTGTATTTACTTTAGGTTCCACTACAGAAATACAGTAAATTATCTGATGCAGACCTCACTGATTTGCTCCAAAATGCCCATGATGTATTTATTAAATTGCTTTTATTTACCTTACAAGATTGTTTTGAATTTCTGACCTATTCTTATTAATAAATGTTAAGATGGCATTCTACAATGCACTGCAAAATGATTCATATCTTTTCAACTTTTGCACATTTTGCTCAAGAACAGTTATCGGCATTGGCGTATCGATACGGTTTTAAGCTAATTTACAAATACAAATCTGGAAAAGGGTGGCATGCATCTCTTTCAAACTGCATGAGTCAACCCTTTAGAACCAATTTTGTTGCTGTCAAATATGTATCTGTTTTCCCCCACTTTCTAAAACAGGTAATTCAAAAATGGTCACTCAACCAACAACATTTTTGAAATCAAAGTAATTGAAAAGTCAAAAATCTTCAAGTATAACTTTGTAGAGTCATTTTGTAATTGGTTTCAAGAACTGTATTGAGTAACCTAGACTTAAAAGTACACCCACACATATGTACTGTATATATATATGTATACACACACACACATAAATGTGTTTTTGGGTGTGTGTGTTGCACGGAGGGTACAGTAAAAAATGGATTTGTGACAATTCATTTTAATATTCATGACTACCTCCCTTTGAATTCACTTTTTAAACACTTCAATATCTCTTCACATACTCTTGCACCCTCTCTCCTAAACACTATATCTCTTTGTGCAATTAGTGTCAAAAAGACATGTTTAAAACATTCCCTTAGTTGCGGGTTTAAGGGTTACTTTCTTTCTCTGAGATCAACAGGGGGTCAGACAAGACTACCTCTTTTTTTGAGGACATAATCTCATAATCATTATTATCTTATTTTCCTTCATACCACCGTATCGTGGTGGGAATGACATTTACGGCTGTACAGCACAGTTTTTTTTCAGGTAGTTCAAAACCAGGAAACACTTTGTAGGTAAATGTCAAAGCTTTTTGCTTTTTCTGATTATTACGTTAAAGACGCTGGAAGCATGTCTCATGCTTCCATCAGAGACAGCACTAAACTAAAGGCACTAAATAGGACAGTTTTAATATTAATCTCTATCATATCATCCTTTTATCTCCAGTTTACTCCTGTTCTCAGTCCTCTTTGGGCTAAACTGTATTTACAAGGAGTCAACATGAATGAGTGTGTCAGCTGACAGATATGCTGCAATAGAAGTGTTCAGACTGTTGTCAACCTTTGAATCCGAGGCAAGGCTTTCTGCTGCTTTATTCTTCAGCCACCGAAAAGGTATTTTTGGTCCTGATCACAGTTTTTCAGCCCTTCTAGAAGCTAGTGACAACTAAAAGCTCACAGCCGATGGAAGGTGGTGGGCACAGACTGAGCGCAGAGCTGCAGGAGTCTCTTACTGAGGATGACGCCGGCGCAGACCAATGCAATGCCGCTCACGATGATGGACACCACGACAGCCATGATAAGTGACGTGGACAGCTGGCCCTGAAGGATGGGTCTCTGCGTAGCTGCAGGTGGTAGGAGGAATAGAGGTAAGAAAGGATTGATGTGGAGTGAAAATGAGCTGTTGCGATTAGGCGTAACAGCTCACCTGTAGCACCAACGCACGTGACATTGTCGCTGGCAAGGAACTCATCGTCGTCGCAGAGACAGAGGATGAGATGGGTGTCTTCCTCTCGCTTGCAGCTCTGCGTCTGACAGTGGCTGCAGTTCAGCTGCACCTTGATCTCACACTCGCCGTGACCCTCCATGGCTAAAAGGAGCAAAAACAGCTCAGATTAAAGCTTTAAAAACAAATACTGCCTCATGCAAGCATGGGGTTCTATTGGTGTCAAAAACAGGTATATGCATCTATGTAAGGTGTTTATGTTGTGTGCCTAGGTAGTGTCTTTATGTCTATCTAAGGGGAGTGTGTTAGGTGCATATGCATATGCATATGGCTGTGGTGCTCCATTAGTACCAAAAACATATTTAAGTGTCTATGGATTTGTTTGTGTATTTACATCTCTATAGCTGTATGTTACGTGTTTATGTCTTAAGTGTATACAGTATGTTAGGTGATTATGTCTTTGTGAGATGCCTATGTATTCTACATGCCCATGTACTGTGTGTTGAGCGCCTAACATATAAATCTCACATATTCCCCTTGCATAGACATAAGCACACTACGTGTACACCTTACAGAGACACATACAGTATACATATTTTCCCATATGTAAAGAATGCAGGCTAAAATATCAGGCTAAAGCAAACTGGATCCAGAGCAATATTTAGGCGCCAATCAGAAAGTTTTGAGAACCTTCACTGTATGCTGATGTTGACAAACAGGTAAAGTCACAGTAGAGATAAGGGATAGGGAGGGTGCAATGGCGTAACGACACAACAATAGGCCCGTAAACAACATTATCTGGGTGGACCCCATATGAGGTACAACAGAAAGAACGCGTTTAATTTGGGAAGTTTATTCCGTTCTTCCAGCAGCTCTTGTTTGCTTTTTCTTTTCTGGAATCCGCATAAGTACCTCTTTTTGGTATCCATCGTACACGTACACATTGTACGTAACGGTTATGGTTTTAATCTACACTCTGGATTACTCATAATTCCAAGTCATATTGTAAAAAATAAAATACTCAAATACATTGTTCTTTCAAGATCTTAATTGCGGTTTGAAAGATATTATATGAGTATATTTTTTTCCAACTGTCTAATGAACTATAAACATGTATTAACATGCTGTTTGGGTCGTGTTTAAATGGCTCACCATCATGTTGAAATCTGGCATGTGTTGGGGTATAAATAAGGTCCGGTCAGTCAATCTAGTATCAGGTGGGTTTAAGTTGAATTTTTCGCACCATTACATCTCCAAAGATATGTCCTAGTCCACAACTGTAAAGGGGGCCAACCAGGTGTTACTGATGGGGCCCCTAAGAGGTCGGGGGACCCTAAGCACCTGCAGTCTCTGCTTACCGATAGTTACGCCATTGGGAGGGTGTCTGAGAAAAGATTAGTATGGCAGAGTGTAAAGGAACTAATGAGGTATTTAATAATGCTAACTTTTTTAAATCAGTAAAACTTGAGTTTAATTTAATATAAAAGAAGGAGGAAAAGTGGTTGTTTACCTTTAGGTTATTAGAATATGTAGTTTGGAGGTTAATGTTGCATTTATTTTCATTGCGTAATGTTTTTCTTTTGATATGACATGTCTTTACCAAAGTTTGCTGGTTTCTCTGTTTGTTTTCCAAACCTTTCTCTACCTAGGGACAGATGTTCTGTGGTCCAATGATCTGGAACCCCAGACTGGGATTTCCATATGAGGTTTTTCTTCCAGGGTGGTTCCAATTTTTTGGACTTGATAAAAAAAATAAAACAGACCCCACAAAAGCAGGGAAAGAGAAATGTGCTGAACACATGGTTTGTGAAGCCTGTGGACCTTATGCTGCAGAGTATTTCCATGTGCTTTAACACATCGATGCTGGCGGGTTATTATAGTGATTACCAGGCTAGCTGAAAGCCTTGGAAAAGGCCTGGGATAATAAGTTAATAAAAAATAAGTAAGTGTGTGTCGGTTTGTACCAATTAAGATTTTAAATTGTGTTGTAAGTCAAGCAACACTAAGATGAAAGATGGCCATGAATTTAAAGGCAAGTATTTAATAGTTATTATTAACTTACAAAATTAAATATTTAATCATCTATTTAGGAATATATACTTCTTAATTTGATGCATGTTTTGCAAGTAACATTGAAATTCTCACAAGTCACAAATAAAATATCTTTATTTTTTCATGTGTTTTATATTTGGCACTTTTATCTTTCCCTAAGACTCCAGTTGCATTCACTCCTATTTTTTAGACTTATGTGTTTAAATTTGAATGATGAGTAAGCAGCCAAACCATTTGGTTTGCATGGGAGGTGGGGCACAGCTACTTCCCCAATATGGCTATGGTAAACTGAAAGACAATGATAAAAGGATAATATGCTTACATACCTTAAATACCAAGAATACCAAGCCTATGTGTAGTATTTCATTTTCTTTTTTGTAAAAAAAACAAACAAACAAACAAAAAAAACAACAACAACAACAAAAAAAAAAGCTCCTAGCTACAGTATAAGCAGCTGGTTTTGGGGCCTCCCTGTTCTCTGGGTCCAGGTTGTCCCCTCTGTTCGCGGGTGTGGTGATTTATGATTTAATCTTGAATGGTTAATGTGGCCTTGTCTCTAAAAGTAACTCCATGACGTCTCAATTTACTGGGCCAAAGGCGTCTGCTTTTAAATTCCAAAACAAGGAGGGAAAGGGTACCAGTAGCTTCCAGGCACACTAAATCTGAAAATTACAGGTCTAGCACCTCTAGTGGCTAAAAGTTATACAGCTCTGCTTCAATTTGAGAAATACTCAGAAATGTATCACTCCTTTACATTTGGTATGAAATGTATTCACTGAAGTTAAACCAAACACATACATTTTTATATACAAAGACACATTTAGTAATAAGTGGTGTAATAAATTAGGACACCATTACAGACATCCCAAGTTCCAAAAACTAATTTCAGGAAGATGCTTATTAATTTAATCTAGTTTTATGCTGTATTAAAATAACCTCGGAACTGGGCAGTTTAGCATGGAGGGACCTCATTTTAAAGTTGATCGATTTCCCTTATCCAACTTGTGGAAGCTTGTGTTCTCTACTGTCTTCATATAACAGCTATAAGAAAGAGAAAAAAACTGCAGGTCTACTATGTGGTATTTAAGGATATTAATAGTGTGAAAGTATATTGTCTTTTAAACACTAAAACCTAGCATGGGAACGGCTGACAATGTTACAAAGAAGTGCTACAGTGAAAGAAAGTGTAGGAAATGTTGATGTAAGTAGCAGCAATCTTAGACTTTGACTGTTATTATGTTTACACAAGTTTAAAACAAAAATAAATATTGTTTGGAACAGCTCTCTAGACAATTTCATCTTTTTAAAAGTGCAGCCTTGGAAAAAAAAGAATATATATATATATATATAAATAACAGTAATATAAACATACGACTGTAAATTTATAGTTCTAACATTTTTTCTTTTTCAATCTTGAACTTGGAACTCAGAAAAGGTAATGTTGACTTGATTTTACACAGGATTTTGACTTTCAAGGATGTCCCAGTTGAAATATTCTCCTTAAAGGTCAGACTCCATAACTATGGAGTAAAAATGGATAGCGCCATTGGTGTTCGATTTTATTTCTCTTTTCTCTCTAAGACAAGGAGATAATTTTAATCTTAGCATTCCTAGTAAAAAATTGTACTGGGCAATAACCTTAATGGCCTGTACTTATATAATACTTTAACAAGTCAGGTAACTTGACCAAAGTGCTTTACACTACATTCAGTCATTCACGCACACACTCATGGTGGCAGGCTACATTGTAGCCACAGCTGCCCTGGGGCTCACTGACAGAAGCAGGGCTGCCGTACACTGGCGCCACTGGGCCCTCTGACCACCATCAGTAGACAATGCAGGTGAAGTGTCTTGCCCAAGGACACAACGGCACTGAAAGTCGGACGCGGGGCTTGAACCGTCAATCCTTCGATTTCAGGCTCCTACATGCGACACCACTGTCACCCTTGACCTACTGTAGGCAGAGGATATCCTGGAATGCTTCTTTTAGTTATAAAGTTTAAATTTGAAACTCATATGTCCATATAGACATATTGCAGAAAACCTGGTATGTGTGTTTGATTTAATCAAGAAAGCAACAGGACGTCTTATTCAATAGGATGAAAACGATTGTAGTCTCTTTCGGACTATACAGCGAAGCACTTTCAAATCATCAATAGAAAGAACCTGCTGTAGGTCCAATGAAGACTTATTAGAGAGTATTTTATAAAGACTTCTTTTTGCATTTCATGCTGTGCTCTTGGACCAAATTTCTCTGTGGTCAGTTTAGGGCCGGTTGGAGGACTTTTTGAATGTTTTCCAATTCTAGACTATTTCACTCTATGACCCTATGTACTCATAAACTGAAGCAATCTCTTTTCAAAGGGCCAAGAAGTCTGCTACTAGGATCCGCTGAAAAATTTTACTCTGAATCACATCTGCAGGTAATTTTAGACATTTTATCCAACAATAAAAAAAATTTAATTAACATTTTATATTCTTTTTTTAAAGGTTGTCTTTAGTCTTAAAAAGGGATATAATCCATATGAACAAATATTCTATGAAAAAAACAGGGCTTCATAGAATATTTTTCACATGACCACTGCATATGAACACATGCTGCTGTTTTTCCTCAAAATGATTGTGCTCCATATTACTATTCATGTCTGTAAAATCAATTATCTCTATTACTGGTTTTATTCATTATTGCCTTTACATACCATCAATAGGCATTTGGCACCAGTGATCAACTTTCATACATTCATTTAAATCTGAAAATGCAACCAGAACAGAGCTTGACTGTTTCTCCAACAGCATTTTTACTGGCAGAGTGGAAAATAAGCTTGTGTCTTGTGTCATATAATAAACTTCACCCTGAATTAAAAGACAAGAGTGCAACTCAACCACATGACAGATAAACTTGTTGGCTTTTAAATTGATTTATCATGACAATGACAGCCATTTTTTCATATAGGGCTCTGAATGCTTTTTATGTTGTTGATCTAGCTGTTGTGATTGGGAAAGATCTCTGAAGAGCACGCAGCTGAACAACAACGTCTTTCACAGGGGAAAGGACGTTTGTCTGCTGGCGCCGAGGGCAACAGGCTGCACAAGGCCACAAATTAGTGGACCGCCTTCCTGTTCCTCAGTCTGGTTTAATGAGAATCAGATGGCTTCTCTTCTCACCAAAATAAATTAGTTAATGGTGCATGCATCCATGCTACGGTAGATACATAGAGCTTATGTTTGAAGGCAATCTTTTAGGGTATACCCTCACCTTGATTTAGTTTTTTTGACTGTATGTTGTCAGATAATCTCAAAAAGTATGCTTGGGTGCCTCTTGGTCAGTGGAAAGGACTGATTCCAGCTCCTTCCCCCGACCAAATGTTATGTTCCCATGTATGTGTGTATGTATGTATATATATATATATATATATATATATATATATATATATATATATATATATATATATATATATATATATATATATATATATATATATATATATA